CGTAAACGCTTGATGCAATATAAGAAAATTTTATCTGCGGCGGGTATCAATTATCGCGTTTCCTCTTGACGTGTAGCCACGCAGCCGACGTGTTTAGCCCGACGTTTAGCTCGTTTGCGGCTTAACGGCTTCCGCAACTGATTTCGCTCTCTTGGCCGCAGTACGAACGGAAAATCGTAAAACCGGTCATATCGGCCGTCGTAAAAGACACGGTCGAACATCGAGCCGGTCCGGAAGAGGGCAATTACAGTTGCCGCCGGTCGCGCGAAGCAGAGAGTCAGAGAGGCGACGGCGGACAGTGATGGCTCAGGACGATGGTGCAAAGGGTGATCCCGTATTTTCCCTTGTCTCGTGCGTGCGTTCGAGAACGAGGAGAAGCACCGGGCAGGGTTGAAACGAGCGATTGGCTCATCCTCGCTGTATTGAATAAACCGAAGGCTTTCCGTCTCGGTTCTATCGCGCTTTTTATTATCCGCTACCGTTACCGTCATACCTATCCATCGTCGACATGCACGACGAGTGTCGATAGACTTTTACGCGTGGACGAAACGTTTCACATCACTCGTTCGTTTTTTTTTTTTAATTTTTTTGTCTTCCCCCTTTTTCCTCGGAAAGTGTCGCGTTGGCAATTATAACTCCCGGACTTCGTCTTAAGTCTCTATTTTCTAGACGAAGCTCGCGTTACCATCATCCAGCGAATTTCTCTCCTCTTTCCTCGGTATATAATACTTAGGTTACATTCGGTATTTTATTTCTTTTGCGCTGTCACTTCCGCGTAATATAGAAAACGACGCGTGAGAGTCGAGATGAAACGAGAAGAAAAATAGAAGTCGGCTGCGAATGGAGGAACGTTCTCCTCTGCATGTCCCTCAAACGGAAAAATTAATTACTCTCACGACCAGCTGCCGCATTTGTACGTACATTTATTGTACAAATTTATTTAATAGAAATTACAATAGAAACCATAATGCAAAAATAATTTCTCAAGTTTTCTCTTTTTTAATTTTCCTAATTTTTATGTATATGAAAGTTTCCCATGTTTCTTTGCTTGGATATTTTAACGAAATTAAATCAAATGCAACGTAAGATTTTTCTTCTCGCTTACATAAGAAAGAATCAGTTCATTTTTCATAATTTAGTGTTATCGTTAAACTTTAAGTGTCAAAACTGACAACAATATTCTCTTTTTGTAGTTTTTAGTACCTTTGTCGACAAATAGTATTGCATTTCACTTATACGTATTTATTTATAGTTAAAATACATTTACGAGAGTTGATATTTAACGTGTCCATTTGTAAAGATCTTTAACATATATTCGTTTAATGCATTTTCGTGTTTACTGCATTTTTCAGTAAAACGATCTGACATTTTTCGTACAGAAATGGCGGCAGATTAACACTCAAAGGCTTAAAGCACGCTTTTATTCCCGTTTGTACATATCTCTTTGTAATTAAATATTACATATTCTCGTGCATCATTTAAATTCAATCGCGCGTGAAAGATAAATCGGAGTTTATAATTAAAATCGATACGATAAGTTTTTATTTCACTGTGGAAATTGTTCCAAGTGTGCCCGGTCGAATTTCTAACTGAATTCATCAAAGCAGCGAATAGCTGCTTGTGCATCTGATGTTTCAAGCACTTCGTTAATCGAAATATTTGATCTCTCACTCTCTCAGGGTACTTGTTTTTTGTGCTACGCGATCGTTTTCCTATAGTGCTCTCGACAGGAGTCTGCTGTTTTTTGCGCGTGTGAAACGTACACTGCTGTGTGTGACGAATTCAATATGTCATCCATTTTGTCAGACTGTTAAGCTCCGCGGATACGCGACTTGCAACGACGTATCGGATAACCTCCGCCTATTTTCCGCGTCTTTGTACTTGACGTTGCCGTTGGCGATTTATTAACGAAGTCTCCTCATCTTCGATGAGTGCGGATGCTTGTTAATTAAGAACACAGTTTGACTAAAGAAGCAACATAATACACTTCTTCGATAACATATTTTGTTTGATTTATCTTGATTCTTTAAGCAAATTTTTCAGAACGTTGTGGTGCGTTATATTTTTAATATAAATCATTAAATGCAAATTTAATAAATATTTTATTTATCAGCATTATCTTTCATTAATTTTAAATGAAATTTAGAATGGATGACAACACTTATTTTTATTAATATTGGATAGGAATTAATCGATTTTGTATTTTTTTTACACGTGATATTATTCCGAAGCTACATGAGCTCACGAAGAAAACGAAAATATAGATACCAACGTTTTCGTTATCCGTTATTCGTTATTCGTTATTCTTGTTATTCTCTTCGTTCGTTGAATTTAACGCAAACATTTTTTGCGCTCATGCATCGCAACCAATGCGCATCGGTGAGTTTTGTTCCTTAATTACTGGTTCATACGCGTCGTTCTTGCTCGCAGCAATAAGGACGGAATTACGGAATCCCCAGGACGAAAGTTCTTGCGACGACGGACTCGCGCATCGAGTTCCTGCGGCCGACATTCGGCCGGCGGCGCCGGGTGCGTCCTTTTTGGCGTTGCGTCAGTGCAGCATCTTTCAAACTGCGTTCCATAGAATACCGGAATTCCGAAAGTTCTGAAAAGAAAGTATTATTACGTAAAGGAGATATTAAATTGTTCAAAAAATAATTTTTAGGAATTTAATTGCTTTGAAATCTTGAACAGTGTAAATTTTGTGAAAGAAGAAAAATAAAAAGAGGTTTACAAATTTTTGTACAAGTCTCTAAATGAGAATTTTATTTGTTTGTAAGAATTGCTGCTTCAATTTCTTTCTTAAATAAACGAACTAAATGGCACCCACGGAATTATCCGCGACGGGATAAACACAAGAAATCACTTTTGCGAGAGCAAGCATAGGAGCGAACGTGCGCGGATATCGACGTTCAAGATTTCCTTCAGGACGTATTAGTCGTAAACTGGAATTGTCGCGTCGGATATATTTCGCTATTTATTCCTACCGCCGGTCTCTCAATTCCTTTTCGCCGATCCGTGGTTCGTCTTCCTCGTAAATTCTATGACGGCCGAGAAACTGAATGTTATTCGTATGAATAACGCGTCTTTGCGGCGGATGCTGTGTAAGGAATTCCCCCATAAAAGGAATACGTTGCTGGAATGAAGTAGTTCACTCTAGGAAAATGCTTCCCGTCAGTAAACATAAAAATTACCGAATCAATAGGAGACAAATCTCGTAAAAATCGGTCGGAATATATAGCAGAACCTTTTTCAGGAAAAAAACATCGACGAAATAAGAATTTCGTACTTTTACACTTGAAATCGTTTTTAAATTTCGTATTAATTTAATTGTCTAAAATTTAATTGTCTAAATGTTCCAATGTTTTATTATACACATTTTTTTGATAATTAAAATTAATTACAATTAAGTTGTAGCGATTACTTCGAATTATTGCGGCTTATACTCTTGAAATATGAACGCAGCCAGAGCAATAAAAGAGGAAAAAGAATAATATTAAGTGTAGTCTGCGATTTCGGCCATGCGGTGGTGTTCACGAATATCCCGAGAATTTCTGGTGGGAAAGTATTGCTCGTAAATTCTGGCCGGGCATTCCACTGCTTATTCTCACTGCGGCCTCGCACCTTCCTTCCTTCCTTCCTTCCTTCATTCAGAGTTTCGTTCAACTTTTTTTCGTTTTAGGACGTTCAAGTAAAGGAACATCAATGAATGAATTTCACATAACATTTACGCGAGTACCAGCACTTTATTTTTTTTTTTTTTAATAATATCTTGAAGCTTTCACATAGCGAATGTATTTTTTTGTACACTTTCGAAATCTTCAATCTTCTTTTATTTTATTAGGTAGATATTAACTGTATCACATTGTTAAAACTATCTTCAGTTTTTTCAATTTATTTTTAATTTGAAACGTAATTACGTTCTGCTAAATACACAGCTTGCTATAAAAATATAAAACTGTAGAACAGTTCTGTATTTTTTTATTTAATACATACGTATGTACTAGATAGATTAATGCAGAAAATGATCGGTACACTGACGAAACTGTAAACTTCCGGAAGTATAGCATTGCTGTTTTGTGCCGATAAAATAATTACACGAGGAATGCGCGGAATCGAGGGAGGAAGAGAGGACGATCACGCGGAATTCTCGTTTAAGACTTCCCTCAGGATTTGCGCGTTCGCAAACTTCGGTCGCCAGCTTGACGCTCGACTATTTATTCCCGCTGCTTTACGATTCGCTTCTTCCACTTCGTTATTCGCCTACCTTATCGGGCGTCTCCACCCCCTCTCCACCCCAAACCCTCCTCCCCCTCTTGCCGCGCGGAAGATTCGCACTCTGCAGAATGATTATTTATCCAAACGCTCCCTTCTTCGGCGATTTTACACGACTTTATAAACGCGAGCGGGAGGAATAAAATCCAGACGTTACCTCCTATGTTTTTCTCTCTCTCTTTCTTCCCCTCTCTCTTTCTACAAGTATCGATTTTAATTTCAGTAGAGTACACGCCGTCGCGACGCCGCGCAAGAATCCTGCGAGTATTTCTGTAAAGTTTGTGAGAACGAGATTGTCGATATTCAACGGACTCGTGAATAACGCCTCGGCTCCGTTCCTCCCCCCGAATGCGTTCCGCTTCAATTCGCTAGAGTCCAAAGTCGAAAACCGAGTTTTATTTTGCCGCTGTTCTCCGTATGCACGTGAAATTATCGGGTATAACAGGATCGTGAGCGCGATTCAAATTTCCCTGGAATATTAACTGAATAATGATCATCGGATGTTTGGACTTTGAAATGATGAAGGTATAATGATTACTCGTTCGTGGTTATGCATCCAATTTGTGGTCTTGCCATGCGAATGTGTACATGTGTGTTTGATATCATTTTGATGCGTGAATATTTAATCCTTTTAGTGGACAATGTACGTGCACGCTAACTGTCGCGTGAAATTAAATGCGATATTGTTGACTTTTCTGACAAATTTTTTACCTTTTTTGTTTCAGGATTCAATGAAAACAACGTAGAGCCAGAACGCGATGTTCAGATAAATATGAATAAATTCTGAAGGATCGAGTAACTGCTGGATAAAGAGGTAAGTGATAATTATACAAGTCTGATCGGACTTCATGCGATATACAGCACGTATAAAGTTTTGACATGTAATTACATAACTCCGCATTAAATGTCATAAGCGTAATTACGTTTTCCGATAGCTATGCATGAAAATCGAATATAAATTTAAGCGTGAATATTTAATCGGTACGATCTACGCATTTTCATCGCAACCCACTAATTACGCCGGCACATTTTGAATTACATTTACGGGGAACATTTAATGGTATCTCTGCCGAATTTGTGATTTAGAGTCAGCAATAAAGATTATATTTATAAAATTATAAGCCTAATGAAGTACATAAGTTATCGAACTACTGAATTCAAATATTACAAAATTCTTAGATTATATAAAAAATTTTCAAACTTAATTGATAAAAAAATATTAAAAAATTTCTAGCATTTTCGAAATAATCAATACATGTCGTAGCTTATTTTTTAAGCTATGCATATTTAATGAGTAATCGCATGAGATGCAGAAGATTTCGCGGGGTCACTCTAAAAAGTTACAACACAAAGTGCGAGAGCGAAGCGGCGCGCACGGGAAATCCTTGCACGCTGTGCGTGGAATACATTTGTGACACGTACGACGCAAGGTGCGGTTTAAACTTGCAAGCGGACTCCGGATATATCGCGGACTATACAAAGTCGTAGAAAATCTCCGCCAGGCGGGACCGAACGTGATATCTGAAGTCGCTCACGAATTCATAGGATATTTTTTCTCTTTCGCTCGATTCCTTCACGCGTTCTCTCTGTCTTCCTTTCTTCTTTACACTTCTCCCTTTATTTCCACCTTCTTTGTTGGCGCGTCTTGCTCGCGATCACGTGTACCGATTTGATAATGTTTCCAAGGATTTTCCAAGTCTTCCTTCTTTTCGCCATAAATTTTACGACGATCAACTATAAACTCTCGTACAGTTTCATTTTCTCTGAACATCGGTGGATTGATATCCGAAAAACTTTCCATCAAGAGATACATAGCGAATTGGACCGTTTTGAAATAATATCTCCACCTTCTTCACAAATTGTGAATTTTTCATAATTTTATTAATCGTTAGAATAAGCAAACTTGCATGAAATTCTTAACAATATGTTGATGGTGTAGAATGAGATGCGTAAAGAAACTAGAACTGAAATGGAAAAAAGTAACGTATAGATACATCAATATATGCGAAGATTCAAGCAGCGGTACTCTTTCTTTTCATCGCTGTATGCTTCTGCGCTGTTGCTTTATAACTGTATTCTTCAAAATATTCGATGTATAACATTCGTAAAAGCATGCTATGGAAATTGTATAGCGTAACGCTCTCGCAGAACGGCAACTTGCTCCGGTACGGATTTATCGTGCGTGTGTGCACCGCGAGTAGCGCGAGTCAACAATGTAGGAAGTCTCGTAGAAATAACTCCGGGGAATAGACGGCCGTAAGCAATCGAAAGTATCTTACTCGATTTGGCTACGACTCCGCGGAATCTCTCGAGCGTAATAATAATGCCCGTATCTATCCCTTACCAGTAGTTACATCTGAGGGGATAATCGTCTTGGCGACCCAGTTTACAGCACATTCACCACGTCACGAGAGTGAGTGAGAGCGGGGGTCGGAGAAGGAGAGTGTGTGTACGTATGTATGCGAGGCGTCGCACATATGCTTGCAAGTCGAGCGTGAGGCGTTTGCGCTTTTGAAGCAGTCTTAATAGCCACTCCGCCACGGTACTCTAACTTTCGAGCGTTTTACTTGAAATTCTCAAGCGCAAGTTCTTTTACTTAATCCAAGTATAATAACGCAAATCCCGTGGAAGCAAAACCGAAACGCAAGGATTCCGTATTCCGCGAGTGTCTCACACGACTGACGAATAATAAGCAGAGAATCGGATCACCTGCATTTCTGCAGTCTAAATGGTATTAATTTAATATTGTTTTAATCATATCGTTTTAATATCGTGGAATTAAATTGACGCAACTAGATCGAATTGCAGCAGTATTATACTCCGGAAAGGAATAGCGTTTTTACGTAATTAGATATTATTTACCTCGAGTCTCTTTCCCTGAAACTCCCGATCAATAACTCAGTTTTCTGAACGGCTTCGAGCGATATTACCGATAATGCGGGCAGAACGAGCGGAACTGGTTGTTCGTGACGAGTTCTCGCATTTTTCGAATTACCGGGTCACGACAACTCTCGCGCGAGAGGAGCGCGCAGCGGTTAACGACAAGTTCGATCCGTCGAATCTCCTCCCCGCGTCCGCGGTACGGAAAGGTGCGCGGAAGCGACATTACGGCAGCAGCTGCCGCGTATCGTCGTTCTACGACGACGACGATGACGACGACGATGGGTTTCGACTGCACTTCGGTGTCAAAGACGCAATAAACTCCCGGCATCGTCGAGATATTTAAGTGCCTCCGGAGTTCTACGAGTGCTTCCTGGAGAGCAGTAGTCGCGCGGTGACCTAGTTCAAATAAAACATACTGGGTATACCACATAAAGTGATCAGCGAACGTGACTTCTTCGCTTCGGAAACTTCTTACGCGAGTAGTATCTATTGACAAACCGGGAGTTGTTAGAAGGTTACGGTCTCGACGTTCCGCTGTTTATGGATTGCGTTCTCGCAAGATGACGCAAAACTTTTTATCGCATGATAATTTAATTTCCAGATGCGACAGTTCGGTAATCTAGCAGCATATTTTTGATCCGTCATTTCTATTATCTCACGACGAGAACTTTGAGAAAAAATATTTATAGATATATTTCGAGACAGAGGAACGCATTTTGTATATTTTGGGCTGTATGCATAAACATTGGTCCAACAGGTCAAACATTTTTCCTCCACTTCTTTTCGTTCTTTCGTTTTCATCCTCATATTTCGTTCTTGTTTTTACATCCTCCCCCCTTCTTCTCTTCATCCTGGTCTTCGGTGGCCACGGATCTCCGAGGGTCCAAGAGTAGTTAGTTATATCACACGGTTTGCATTTTAAAGAAGCATTGGGAGCACTGGCGACTAACGACTCGTATTTCCTGGAATTGTGACAAATCTCGGGGAGGCCGCATAATTATAGCCGCTTTATTTTTGGATATGTATTAACAATGAGAAACGTCGCGCAGACATCTCTATTAATATTTCATTTCTATAGTTATTTATGTCTAATGTATAGCTATAGCTATTGTATTATTCATATTTATTTTCAAATGCAATTATTGAAAAAACAAGGAAAAACCAAGTGATCTATTTTATTTTATTCACAAGTGTCAATCTTGATCACGTGTTATTCACACTTATATTTAATTCATTTAAAAAATGCATATTTACATAATTCTAGTCTTTCGCGAACTGGAAACCTGAGTTTTCGGACTTACATCCTAATGTTTCTCAGGTATAGAAATGCCACCTCGCACGCCTGTAGTTCGCATCTGCGCGTCGTGACTAGTGTCGAATTTTGCTCGCCACCTCCGGTGTAGACGATGCTCTCGAAACGTGCGCCAGACTACATAGGAGGATTACGCGCGAGCATCTGCTGCCGCGTTCCCGGCTCGCATTACGTGCCTCCCGCTATTATGAGAGGCATTAATGCTCCCGATGGCCCCTGTGTGTTCCCGGAGCAGGGAAAAACAATAGGTAATTCCCAGGACACTTGTCCGCGCGCTCACGCGCGCTGGCGCCTGTCCATTGTTTCCGGGCACTGCTAGTCGACAGCTAGTAGAAGCGGAACGAAGAGGGTACAGCAAAACACGTGGTCGAAGTAAGCGTGGGGTGATAAAGACGGGAGACAGTGCGGACGTGTTTCTTCGTTGCCGTGTAAAACTCGGCGTATTTTTTTTTTTTTTTTTATTTAGTTCTAACAATTACCATTGGAACAGTCAGTAGATCTGATAAAGTTTGAAGTGCAGAAGCGGGAGCGCGGCATGGGAGAGCGTGTAGGCGTTAGATAGGGGCAAAGCTTCTGCAGAGTAAATAACGGCTCTGATAGAATCGAATCTCCGCGCGCGCCTCCGCGTCGTTGACGTCGCCGTTGCCGTCATCGTCGTCGTCGCCGTCGATGTCGTCGTCGTCGTCGATGGCGTCTTTATCGGCGCCATTACGCTCGGTTTGCCGTTACCCAACTTTCCGAAATCAGAGAAAACCTCGCCAACATCGAGAATACCTCCGGTCCTACTCTTTCAGTTTTTCCCTCCCGCTCTTTTGTTCTCCTTCTCCCGCGCATCGAATGCCTATAGACATTCCATACCTTCCTGGGTAATTTCGTTTCATTTTTAAACTTCTCTCCACGATCGTCAATTTTGCGAGGGATAAAAGGCAGATGGCCCCCCTCCTTATGGCCGTCTTCTTATTATCGGTTTGAATCACTGCGGCTTTCGGTCATTTTGCGCGGTGCGCCAGGCGGCAGATTTGACAATTTACCGCGCAACACACTGTAGATTAGCCCATTCTGCGGCGAGGCGTAATGAGAGTGGGTAGTTTCGAACCGCATGGTGAATCTGAGTGCGCCAAATTCGGCCATGCGGGCTGCAGTTCTCGTCAGTGTCATAAGCTACATCGACTGTCGCGTTGTAACGTGTTGGTTCCTAATAGCTGTTGCCATTACCTATCAGACACATTGTCATTCGGAAGAAATTATCGTCAGATTATCAAGTTCCAAACTTGGAAACTAGGATATAATGAACAAGTGGAAAATGACGCTAGCATATCGTATTGTTCTTTTTATAGCAATTTATTCTCGACACGATTGTCTGCTTTATCAATTGCTTTATCAAATGCTCTTTTCAATTCTCATACAATCTTTGAAATTACAATGTCATGCGTAAAGCCCTTATTGTAATTTTTATCGTTTTGATATCTCAAAAGAGATACAGCTTAATCCTCGTAAATTGCATTTTTATGCGCGCCATACGCTTTGGCACTTAACGTCGTAATTGGATGAAATGTCATCCCGAAGAGCGTATGAGAGTTGATCTTCTCTCGTGTCGAGGATTTTATTTTCTTTTTTTT